GTGTGTGTGTGTGTGTGTGTGTGTGTGTGTGTGTGTGTGTTGTGATCAAATCCTAAAAGATTTCCTAACTGTTGTACCTTTTATTCCTCTCTTTACCTTTTGGTGCTTTTCTTCTCTCTGTCCTTCTGTTCCCGCTCTGCCTGTCTGTCTCCACCTGTGACCTCCTGTCCTTTTCCAGATGAGGTGTATGCTCAGAAGCTAAAGGGCAAGGCTCTGAGCGAGGAGCTGGACCTGGCCCTCAACGACATGACTACACTGTAGATGCTGTCCTCCTTCTCTGTGCACCTCCTCCCTGCCTCAGCTCTCCTCTGCCTCTCTGCAGTTTCCTTCCATTCCGCAGCAGTGACTCCACAATTCGATATCACCATTCAGTACCCTACGTGTTACGCAGGACTGCTCTCTTATTCTCTTTCTCCTTTTTTTTTTTTTACAAAAGATAATTTGCTGCTTGCCCTCTCACTGCTGCATGTTTTCTGATTTGAACTTAATGTCCTCATTTAGTAAAATATTTATTCAAATCTGTCTCCCTTTTTCTTTCTGTAATAAAGACCTAAAGCTCTCTTGATTTTTCTGTCTCATCCCAGTTTCCCTTTCTTCTGCTTATTTTTCTAATTTTAGAGTTAGAGATAATTTACAGTTAACGTCTTCACTGGATTAGAAACATTCCCTGAAATGTAAAGTTATCCTAACTTTTGTTAAGGTTCATCGTTTTTGCTGCTTTTCAAAATAAAAGTTTGACGTTTTTTAGAAAGCACTGTAATCCAAGTAATAAAGTGGAGAAGTGGGTAATTCACAAGCTGAGCAAAGAGAAGAAGCTGTAAAGATGTGCAGACAGCTGGTCTTGTAGCTTAGGATGTAATGCATTCAGTCCACTTAGTGGAGGTTTTTCAGCTGCTCTGCGCTTTTATGAGGACAAGACAAGTGTGTAAGTAAAGGTGATGTCATTCAAATCATGAAATCATAGCAAAAGAAAAGAAACGAGAGGCTTTTGGTGTTAGTGGGAGTCAAGATGAAGTTCAGGAGATGCAGAAAGAAAGGATGTTGATGAGAAACCTGAGACTGCAGAGCACTGAAGCAGACAGCTCTCTGAGGTGGTCACTGCATGAAACGTGTAGTTTTGAATGGGAAAGATTCTGTGTTTACCATATATTCAAATAAATAAACTCATTAAATCTCCAGATTTAAAATGGGTAAGTCTGAATCATTTCAGTTCTTTTTACATCTTTTGTTTTGTGGGGCCCTAATCTATGTTGTTAGCGCCTTCGAGCCACAATCACTCTCATTTCTTTTCTCTGGAAGGTTTCTCCACAAATAATTTTTTACATAATGTGTCAGTAGCTCTGAAGGCTGGAGTTATGACAGTTAAAGTAACTGAGTTCTGAAGCCTCCAAAATAGGTAATAGATATTAAAACCAGAAAACTAAGTCATCCAAGTTTGCCATCATCAGTGTGTGAATGTGAGTGTGAAGGGTGAATGTCAAGGTTTATTCATTTCATTTCATTAAAAATAAAATAAAAGAATGATAAAAATAAAATACAAAATTAAAATACAATAAAATAAAGAAATACAAAAAAACTGACAAAATGAAATAAAAGGCAGCAGAAAGAAGAAAAAAATCTTAAATCTGTGCCTTTCCTCCATCAAATAAATTTACTAACAATAATCTTTACGCAACAAGACAAAATAAAAAAGTAAGATTAAAAGAAACCATCAAATCCTTCTTGAACTAATAATCCATTCTAGGCATGTCTTTTTTTTTACATTATTTGTTCGAAAAAGAACAGGTAAAAGATACAAGATCTTTTGATTTCCTGCCCTTCTCAGCTCATATTTAAATGTTCTCACACCAGATAAACACAAATTATTCCCACGTTGAATGAGCATTACGTGTACAATTATTTATACATTTCTAATATAAATAATATTGAGACACCCATCCTACATAACACATTTCCCAGTAAGCTCCTTTTTAAACGTTTTTTAAGCTGGTTTAAGTTTGTAAATTTTTTTGAGCTCATCATTTAATTCATTCCATAAATCTACCCCATAACAATAAACAAAAACTCTTTTTGGTTGTTCAAAGCTGAATGTGAATGTCTGTAAGTGTAAAGAGCTTTGGGGTCCGGAGGGTCTTGATAAAGTGCTCTATGTTCAGTCCATTTACAATCCAAACTATTAACTTAAGAAAAGTCTAGTCACACTAAACTTATGTCATGGTGTTAATTACCTAAAAGAAGCATAACTCTTGATCATGTGAAGTCCTGAGGAAGTCCATGACTATTGATTTTATAAACAAGACAAAATATAGCAGAGAACAAGTACGACATAAACCAATTTTACTGTTTCTTTAATCTCAGTATTATGCAGTAAAATGCTGTGAATATTTATTGGCTTTAAATCCTGAGAAACCTCTTCAAACAGAACATCTTTGTACAAACAGGTTGATATAATACTGGGTTTGAAGGATACAGATTTTATTTTTTAAGTTTTTGTGCCTGATTCCTTTTCTTAAAGCAAACAAATATCAAACTCAAATGAATCAGTGTTGCATTGGAGAATTTATCCATTGACACAGCATCTATCCATTATAAATCATTATTCGACTGCTTAGCGAAGGTCTAAATGGTTGTGAACGTGTCTTTCAGCTCTGCATGAACAAACCATCCTGTTTTCTGACAGGAAACACAGCTGGAAGTTCACTTGTTACTTTTGTTTTTTCCAACTTTAGAGAAGCTGGCCCAGGCCAAAGAAGAAAACCTGGACATGCACCAGGTGTTGGACCAGACTCTGCTTGAGCTCAACAATCTATAGAGATGCCTTCAGAGCTGTAAGGATGTGAAGAAAAGTCTATGAAAAAAATGCTTTATTTCCTTTCCGAAGTTCCCGGGAGGTATTCTTACAGAAATAACATATTGTTTTATTGCAAACATAACTCACAGTAAATATATATGTTCTTCAGTTTAATAGGTTTTACAGGAGCTTTGCTTGAAACCTTGTAGTTTATTAGAATTGTATCAATAAACCGAATCAAAAAAGTATCTTTGACATCTTTCTCTATAAAATCTGTTCATGAATCCAGCAGGCCATTTCTCAGTGTTCCCTTTTGAAAACGATAATAATGAACTGAAAAGCCAAGTAGTGGATTTATAAATTTAAGTTTATATTTGGTTAAGTTTGGGGGGGAAACAACTATGAATGAATGCTCTCTGGTGAGCACTCCATTATTTAAAAAAATGCTTTGAGATCTGGTGTTTAAACGTGTCTCACATTGTGCACATTCCCATGAATATGCAGAAAGGAGTAAATAACAAAACCCAAAGTTTTGGCAAAGTGTTAAATTGTTTGGTGTTCTAATAAAGACTCATTTGAAAATAAAAGTAACAAAAACTACGACTTTGTGTTTTAGTATTGTATTTTTTTTCAGTTGTGTGACTTTGTCTTTATTTCCAGCTGTTGTTGCTTTAACCTTTTATAAACCTGTAGAAACAGAGAGCTGGTACATTTTCAGTATTCTCACCAGCTGTGAGTTTAAAACACAACTCCATGAGTCAGTTATAGCCTGTAGAAACTTTAGCAGCATTTTGCTCATAGGTCATGGAGATTTTGAGTTTTTGTTCCTCTCACACAACTTTTCAGTTTTGTTTTGAACACTGACACAGTGGAACCTCTGGATTATCATAATCATCTGTGCTCTTACAGCAACACAAGTTCTCTGCGTTTGACCCATCGTGTGTGAGACACACTCAGGTGTAGCAGCAAACACCACATGGTGGGAACTGAACCTTCTGGTCCCGAGTTTGCTGCGTACCAGTGCACCACAGCCACCCTGTTTCTGTACCACTGCAGCTCATTTGAATAAATTTAGAAAGTGACAAAGATCAGATCTTGCTTGTTAGATTGTTTTATAACCTGAATGAAACAGGAAGGAGTTCCTTTCCTATAAGTTTGTTGTCTGTTAGGATTTGTCAGGTACAGCATGCTCTGAATCCTGACTAAAATTACCCAAACATTCAGTCTTCATGAAAATCACATAAAAATCACTCAGTATTTGATCTGCAGTGAATCTCTATCTCCATTTTTTCTTATAGTCAGATCACGGAGGAAACAGGTCTAGGAGAGAAACTCAGACATCCCCCTCCCCAGTGACACTTTCCAGCTCATCCTGGGGGACCTCCAGGTGTTCCCGGGCCAGAGGAAACACAGAATCCCTCTGGCGAGTCCTGGTTCTGCCCACACACCTGGAATACCTCTAACAGGGGGCGTCCTAGATGAACCACCTCAACTGACTCCTTTCAATGCAGAGGAGCAGCGACTCTACTCCGAGCTCCCCACAGATAACGGAGCTCCTCCCCCTCTGTAAAACTGAGCCCGGCCACCCTCACATTGAAGTTCATTTTGATTATTTGTATCCAGGATCTCGTTCTTTTGGTCATGATCCACACCTCATGACCACAGGTGAGGGCTGACAGACCAGTAAATTAGGAGCTTTGCCCTTCGACTCTTTCTTCACCACAATCTGCCGAAGCAACGCCCTCATTACTGAAGATGAGACTCCAAACCGTCTATCCATTTCTTGTTCCATCCAACCAGCAGTAAATCCATTCTGTTTTTTTTTATTGTTTTCCTACCTACTTACTACTTTTTGGGGTCATAAAGCTCTGGCACCTCATGTGTCACAGTGTACAGCTTTCATACTGAAAGTTGCCTTTCAGACAAATGTGAAAATTGTGAAAAAATACACCGTCTCCTCTTGTGAAGAAGTTGCGTTGTGTAAAAATAAATAACAGAATACATTGTTTAGGCTAATGTTAGTGATACACATTAAACACATATAATTACTGCAAAACTGAGTGAAATAGTTTCAGTTTAATGCGGGTTAGGAATATTCTGAATGGTTATTTTATTAAACCAGTGATTGGTCAATCACAGTAGTGGGAGAAAATTCTTCAGCTGGTCACACAAGTATAAACAAGACACGGTTCACTGTGCATGTTTACATGTAAACATGATGTTGTTCACTGATTAAAAAAAAGGCAGCAAACCTGTTTCTCAGTGCATCGTGATTTACACAAACTCCAAATACACACATTGTACAATCTTCCTGACTTGGTGTTCTAAAAACATCACAACACAAAATATACAATTTACACAATGGGCTACCACTATGTGGTATCTACAGGTGCTGGTCATAAAATTAGAATATCATGAAAAAGTAGATTTATTTCAGTAATTCCATTTAAAAAGTGAAACTTGTATATTATATTCATACATTACAATCAGGGGTGTCAAACTCCAGTCCTCGAGGGCCGCTATCCTGCATGTTTTAGAGGTTTTCTTGCTCCAACACACCAGATTTTGATCGCTGGGTAATTAACAGGCTTCTGCCCAATTTGAAGAGTTAATTCAATCACTGAATCAGGTGTGTTGGAGCTGGAAAACCTCTAAAACATGCAGGATAGCGGCCCTCGAGGACAGGAGTTTGACACCCCTGTTCTACGACCATCTCCCTAAGGTGCACTTTTATACTGCTCATTGTGCCAGCATCTAAGTATCCCCTAAACATTTATCTGTCCAGAAAAATTCCGTAAAAGTTCTGACTGTCTCTCCCCTAAATGACACCCAGATTTTTGAAGCAGCTAAAAATTGAACTGGTTAGCTGATGAACAAACAATGTGTTATGTTGGTATGAATACATAAACACTATCAGTTGCACTTTG